TAAATCATTTGTATAGAATTCTTAATATCCACCTGTTTTGCTTTCCTGGATGCTTTTTTGAAGATTGACAACAAGATATGCAAATAAAAAACCGTAACTCTTAAATGTCTCATTTCCAAATTTGTACAATCAACAAATTTCCGAAGCTCATCCCCAAATTATTTCTTTGTCCAAAGAAGTCTGAAGAAAGAAAACAGTAAGCATTAGTGCAAAATGAAGGGTCACTGAAACAATGGTCATCATAGGTGACTTAATAGAGTTAAATTTAATAGAATCTTGAAAGATATCAAAAGATCTCATGTGGCTGTTTTTTGTTTTTCTTTATCCACTGGTGTTATCGATACTATACTTTGTTGAATGTTTTATTGCAAATTATTGTTTTAACCAAACACGTCAGTCTGTTTAATTTATCAGCTAGATCTAACAGTCCTTTAGAATAGTACATTTGAAATCACTTCAGATTTCTCAGAACATTAATGTATTAAAATCTCGTTTTCAACTATAATGGTTGGATCTTCCTTGTAAGTAAGATTCCATTTATGATCTCAGACAAAGAATATCAGGGTGACTGGTAGACAATGGACACTGTAGCTTGTAACTCCATGCCTTCCTCACATTGCTACTAAACTAGAGTCTTTCTGTGTGAATGGACAACGGATACAATCATAAAACAATAATATAATATTTCATCATTACTCTCTCAAAATATTAAGATCAGACTGCTGCAACAGAGGCATAATAATACTTTGACCACATCAACAGCAGCAACATAGTAAGTGTTGCATAGTGAAGCAGAAATAGAGTTTGAAACTCCCTGTGTGTTAAGGCAGATCAAGCAACAAGAAAATTTACCTTTTCAACACTGCAGTCATCACCTTATTAAGCTTAATTTGAAATCTTGGCACAAAGATATTCCTGATGAATAATATAATTAAAAATGTATACTGGGATGATCAATATGTTGTTATTATTATTGTTGTTGTTATTATTATTTCTTACACTTATATACAGTAGTGCTTTTCTGGACACTCCACTCAAAGCTCTCTACAGGTAATGGGGATCCCCTCCACCACCGACAATGTGCTGCCCCACCTGGATGATGCGACGGCAGCCATAGTGCGCCATAATGCTCACCACACTTCAGTTAACACTGGGGAGGAGAACAGAGTGATGAAGCCAATTCATTGATTGGGATTCTTAGGAGGCCACGAGTGGTAAAGGCCAATAGGAAATTTGTCTAGGATGCCGGGGTAACACCCCAACTATTTTCAAGAAGTTCCCTGGGATTTTGAATGACCACAGAGAGTCAGGACCTCAGTTTTATGTCTCATCCGAAGGATCGTGCATTTTTACAGTATAGTGTCCCTGTCACTATACTGGGGCATTAGGACCCACATAGACCACAGGATGAGTGTCCCCTACTGGTCCCTCTAATACCTCTTCCAGGAACCTTAGTTTTTTCCAGGAGGTCTCCCAACCAGGTACTGACCAGGCTCAGACTTGTTTAGCTTCAGTGGGTTGTCAGTTGAGAAGTGCAGGGTGATTTTTGCTGCAACTGTATGCTAATTGCAATGAAACATGACTACTTCTGTGTTATAATTAGAAAGTATAGGAGTTTGATGATCCCCTGTGACCCTGAATTAGAGAAAGCAGTTAGGAAATGAATGGATTTAGTTCAATGGATTTAATTTAATGTAATTCTTTGCTATCAGAGTGGATATTCCTATTTAGTTCTACTGTCCAAATTCACTTCCACCCATCAACCGATCCAGCAAAAGCCTGCTTCCCTGGACTGGGGCCTCACACTGGACACATGCCTGCAGATCCCTGGCTGTTCCAACTACAGCCCCTGTAAACAAGAGGTAGGAACGGAGAAAATAGGAAAGGTAAGAGAGAGCTATCTTATCAGAAGACAGGAAAGTGAGA